AGAATTGAGATCATGATTCTCTCACGATTTTCTTTTCCAGTATAAATATTTATTGCACTTATTAACTGCACATCAACTTCGTAACAGTTGAGACTGAACATAAAAACAATAAACAAACATAAAAACAACAAAACGTTGTCCTGCTTGAAATTCCGTCTCCACCGTTGCTCGACACTGCGTGTACAGAGCAGGTAGTGCAACAATAGAAAAATAGTTGCGGGACGGCACTGTGTAGCGTTTGTCTAGGGTGTTGATCATTTTCCTAAATCCCTCATTTTGCACAGTGTTGATGGGAGCCATATCTTTGGTCAGGTGATAAGTGATAGCCTCCGTAATTTCTTTGTGCCTGCGGGAGTTCGACATGTATAGGGAAGCGCTGTATAAGGTTCCCGTTATTGATGTTTGGGTGGTTGACCGGGACGGATTTTCTCCAGTCACTTTCACGTCATCCCTGACGTGTTCTCCGTGGTTTTTTCCCTGCTAATTTTAGCATCACACGGCACAGCTTCTGTATCACGTGGTATAAGACTCCGCCCTTGTCATTTGTTGAGCAGGAAGAGTGAGCGCTTGTTTTCATGCAGAGTACGTCCCGGATCAAAATGCGGTACAATCGTCTTTTTTATTTATTTTTTAAATCGTTGTCATTTGGAAATGAGATCGCACATAAGTATGAATCGAGATCGCGATTTTCTAACGATTAATCGTGCAGCCCTAGTATAAGGAATAAGAGCCTTCTTGCAAGGTTAGAGCAGTAGGCCTGTGTTTGATGGACAAAGATTTGTACACAGACTGGGACTAGGCCTCGTCATTGACTCAGCTCTGGTGGGGATGTGCTCTTGTTTTCAAAGGTTAATCGGATGTTTCAGCTGTTTCTTTCACACCACAGTCACCCTTAAATGTCTGTATTTCATCCATAAATGTTCTTAAACAGGAAGTGTCTGCATTCTGCTCTCAGAGGTGATTGTAAGATAATGTCCAGGTTTTTTCCAGACCACAGTGTTCAACACTTCTTAAATGTCCCTGCAGGTTCCAGCAGGTTCACTTGAGCTCTGCAAGCTACTGTGTTGAGGATAACTGAGTGAAGATGAGTAAACTGGAGAAAAATGAGGAGCGATCAGCCGTTCCACCATCCAGCTGTGCGTCTCTGCAGAGTGACTGGTCCAGAGACTCCCCTCCTTACTTCAGAGATGAGCCTGGACCCTCAGACACAAAGTAAGAGGCTGTCTGACTCCTCAGACATGTAACATGTACACAAGTGCTCTCAGCTCCATCACAGTGTCCTGTAACACTGTAATATTGCAAGGACAAGGACAAGGACAAGCACAGAGATGAGTCCACTGTCAGAGGCCATAAGAAGATCATTTGTAACCTTCACTAAAGCTGTTTCTGTGCTGTGATGAGCTCTGAAACCTGACTGAAACTCTTCAAATAAACCATTCCTCTGCAGATGATCTGTTAGCTGTTTGACAACTACTCTTTCAAGGATTTTTGATATGAAAGGAAGGTTGGAGATTGGCCTATAATTAGCTAAGACTGCTGGGTCTAGAGATGCTTTTTGAGTAAAGGTGTAACTACAGCCAGCTTGAAGGCCTGTGGTACATAGCCGACCATTAGAGATAGGTTGATCATATTTAAGATCGAAGAATTAATTAATGGCAGGACTTCTTTGAGCAGTTTTGTAGGAATGGGTCTAAAAGACACGTTGATGGTTTGGAGGAAGTAATTATTTCAGTGCTATGGGAGGGGCGAAAACCAGACTGGAACTGTTCATACAGATTATGTATGAAGATTATGCAATTAAATGCCATATTGATGCTGTCATTTTTAACATCTACATGGATGTTAAAATCACCCACAATAACTATTTTATCTGAGCTGAGCAGATAAAAACAAATTCAGAGAAATCAGACAGAAACTCTGGGTAAGGCCCAGGTGGATGATAGATGAAAACAAATAAGACTGGTTTTTGAGTTTTACAGCTGGGGTGGAAAAGGCTAAGCATCAGACTTTCAAATGAAACAAAAGTCTGTCTTGGTCTTAAGGTTGTGTTTTAAGGTGTTCCTTTTATTAAACTGTCATTTATGAGATGCTTTTCAAAACAGTAAAGTATTAACTTATCCTCTTTAGGAACTTATACAAAAGTGATTTACTCTTTATTATTACTACATAATCATCTGGGGGAAAACTGGATTTTATAATGATTACTGCTTAAACAGTGATGAAGTAATGATTTTTTTCCCAACACACTCAGGAGCTGTAACCAGTGCATCATGTTATACTCGAACCAGTCTGGTTCATTAGCAGACTCATGTCCCCAGTGTGGAGAAAAGCTGAGAACAAAACCTGGACTTCAGACCGACAGTCAGACCATCTTCATGCAAAGTAAGAGTGTAATATGTCTGTCAGCTGGTGGACCCATTTCTGAAAATGGACATATTACAGTGCTGTGAAAAAGTATTTACCCCCTTTCTGATTTCTTTTTTTCACATATTTGTCATACTTGCATGTTTAAGATCATTTAACACATTTATTGAGACTAAGATAAGTAATCTGAATAAATACAAAATGCACTTTGTAAATAATGATTTTATTTAAAATTGTGTGTGTGTGTGTGTGTGTGTGTGTGTGTGTGTGTGTGTGTGTGTGTGTGTGTGTGTGTGTGTGTGTGTGTGTGTATATATATATATATATATATATATATATGTATATATATGTATGTATGTATATATGTGTATATGTGTATGTATGTATATATGAATGAAAAATTATTTAAAAGGGGAAAAAGGATATCCAGTAGTAACCCTTTACTGGCTGAGTACTATGGCCTCAGATTTGGAGGTGCTGATTCTCATTCCCACCCTTTCACACTCAGCATTGAACCATGAGGCCATCACCAGATGAAGCCAGCAGGGCCACATCATCTGCAACAAGTAGAGACCAGATTCTGAGACCACCCAAGTGTACGCCTTCTCCCACTTGGACAAACCTAGACATTTTGTCCATATAAATTATGAGTCCAACACCCACTGCAAATGAATCCAACTTATTGCCAGCTATTCCGACCAAGCTCTTGCAATGGTTGTATAAGGATCAAGCTTGTAGCAATGGGCCAGACACCCGACTTCCCACAGGACACTCAGAGACATGGTCTAATGCCTTCCCCAAGTCTAAAAACATATATAGACTGGTTAAGGCAAACTCCTATGCACCCTCAAGTATCGTTGAGATGGTTAAGAGTGTGTCCAGTGTTCCACGACAGGACGGAAACTGCATTGTGCCTCCTGTCTCTGAGGTTCGACTAGCAAAGAACTCTACTTTCCAGAATTCCGGCATAGGCTTTCCCATGGAGGGTTAGGAGTGTGGTCCCCCTATAGTTGGAACACACCCTCCGGCCCTCTTGTTAAATATGGGAACCAAAGATTGATTAATTTTTGTAACTGTGTCATCAGATTTGCGGCAATATGTTCTGGACACTCAGGTGAAAGAGGGGCTTTGCTGTCAACTGATCACCACCTTGTGGTGTGTTGGATCAGGTAGTGGGGAAGGATGCTGGATAGATCTGGTGCCACTAAATGTATAGGAAAGGTGTGCTGAGAATGCCTGGTCCGGTTAACGAGATCTTCAACTCCCACCTCCAGCAGCTTGAACAGCATTCCCAGGAGATGGTTAGTGGATCCCTTCAAATGGTGTCTACCAAATGGTGTTGGAAGAGTTCGGAGAGGCCATGGAAAAAGACTTGCGGACTGCCTGGAAGAGATTCTGGCAAACTGTCAGGCAACTCAGGAGGGGCAAGCAGTGCTTTACCTGCACTGTGTATAGTCCGGGTGGAGCGCTGCTGAATTCGACTGAGAACATTGTTGGGTGATGGAAAAAATACTTTGAGGACCACCTTAATCCCTCTGTCATCAAAGCTCAATTTTATTTGTATTCATTTTATCATTGTCTAATACTAAATTTTGTAGAAATTTATAGAAAATAAAAATTTAAAAAAAATCAGGAATAGGGCAAATACTTGAGCACTGTGGTGGTGCTTTTCAGATGTTAAACATGTCTCTTTTGGCTTTTTTTTTGTTTGTTTTTACTCTTTCAGATGCTGCTCTGCATGAGATTTTAACTGAACATAAGATCAGTCTGAGGAGGGGATGTGAACGTGTAACTGAAGGAACTGATGAAACAGGAAGTAGAACCCTCCTCAACACAATCTACACTGAGCTCTACATCACAGAGGGACAGAGTGAAGAGGTACATATACAACATGAGGTGAGGCAGCTGGAGACAGCTTCCAAGATGGATGCCCTCCATGACGCTCCAATCAGGTGCCAGGACATCTTTAAAGCCTTACCTGACCAACAGAGACCCATCAGAGTGGTTCTGACCAACGGCGTAGCTGGCATTGGAAAAACCTTCTCAGTGCAGAAGTTCACTCTGGACTGGGCAGAGGGCTTGGAGAACCAACATGTCAGTGTGGTGATTCTGCTTCCATTCAGGGAGCTGAACCTGATCAGAGATGAGCAGTACAGTCTTCTGGAGCTGCTCCATGTTTTCCATCCAACATTACAGAAGGTCACAGCAGAGAAGCTGGCTGTCTCTCAGCTTTTGTTCATCTTTGACGGCCTGGATGAAAGCAGACTTTCATTGGATTTCACCAACATGAAGCTTGTGTCTGATGTCACACAGAAGTCATCAGTCAGTGAGCTGCTGACAAACCTCATCCAGGGGAATCTGCTTCCCTCAGCTCTCGTCTGGATAACTTCCCGACCTGCAGCAGCCAATCAGATCCCTCCTACATGTGTTGACAGGGCAACAGAAGTACGAGGTTTCACTGACGCCCAGAAGGAGGAGTACTTCAGGAAGAGATTCAGTGATGAAGAGCTGTCCAGCAGAATCTTCTCCCACATGAAGACATCCAGGAGCCTCCACATCATGTGTAGAATCCCAGTCTTCTGCTGGATCACTGCTACAGTTCTGGAGCACATGTTGACTACAGAGCAGAGAGGAGAGCTGCCCAAGACCCTGACTGACATGTACTTACACTTCCTGCTGGTTCAGACAAAGAGGAAGAAGAACAAGTACCATGAGGGACATGAGACGAGTCGACAAGAGCTGACAGAAGATGACAGGGAAGTTCTTCTAAAGCTGGGGAGGCTGGCATTTGAACATCTGGAAATAGGAAACATCATGTTTTACCAAGAAGACCTGGAGCAATGTGGTCTGGATGCCACATATATTTCAGTATATTCAGGAATTTGCACAGAGATCTTCAAAAAAGACTGTTTAATCCTTCAGAAACCAGTCTACTGCTTTATTCATTTGAGCATCCAGGAGTTTATGGCTTCAGTCTACATGTTCCACTGTTACACCAACAAAAACACAGAGGTGTTGAAAGTATTCTTGGAGCAAAACTGCGAGGTTCAAAACAGTCATTCTGATGATGAAGATTTTGATGATGAAGACTCTGATGGTAATACTGAAGTCTTTTCCAACTCTGGTTATGTTATCCCCTCCTTAGCTGACTTTCTTACGCTGGTGATGGAGAAATCCCTTGAAAGTAAAAATGGACACCTGGACCTGTTTGTTCGATTCCTTTATGGTTTGTCTCTGGAATCCAATCAGAGACTTTTAGGCCACCTGCTTGTCCGGGCAGAGGTCTGGCCAGAAATGATCCAGGCAGCCATAAACAACTTGAAGGAAATGAACACCCACAAAATCTCTCCTGACAGAAGCATCAACATCTTCCACTGTCTGATGGAGATGAACGACCTCTCAATACATCAGGAGCTTGAAGAGTTCCTGAAGTCAGAGAACAGATCAGAGAAACTTACGGCAATTCACTGCTCAGCTCTGGCCTACATGCTGCAGATGTCAGAGGAGGTTCTGGATGAGTTGGATCTGACAAAATATAACACCACAGTGGAGGGACGGCAGCGGCTAATCCCAGCTGTGAGGAACTGTAAGAAGGCTCGGTAAGTCCAGATTGTAGCACAAACATCAACATTGTAGAGTTGTTGTTACTATGTGACAGCCAGTGTTAATTTAACAGCACCACCGGGCCCTCTGACCACCACCAGTAGGCAACGGGTGAAGTGTCTTGCTCAAGGACACAACGACCGAGACTGTCCGAGCCAGGGCTCGAACCGACAACCTTCCGATTAAAAGACGAACTGCCAACTCTTGAGCCATGATCGCCTCTTGTATAAATAAATATAAGATCATAGCAGACTACCCTAAAATGGATTCAGTGACTAAAAAATGTTTGTCGTGTTTTTACTGATGAGAATTGCTCTACACGGTTTACAAAGAGTCTTATTCTCCTTAACGTATGTCTTAATGATGGCAGATGGCCATCCCTCACTGAGGCTGGTTCTGCTTCCTGTTAAAATTGAGTTTTTCTTTCCCACTGTTTCCCACATAAAATGGCATAGCAACAAAAACCTGACTTTTATAGAGATTATAAAGTATACTCTATGACAGGGGTGGGCAATTCCAGGCCCCGAGGGCTGGTGTCCCTGCAGGTATTAGATGTGTCCTTGAACCAACACAACTGATTTAAATGGCTAAATTAGCTCCTCAACATGTCCCGAAGTTCTTCAGAGGCCTGGTAATGAACTAATCATGTGATTAAGGTGTGTTGACCCAAGGTGAGATCTAAAACCTGCAGGACACCGGCCCTCGGGGCCTGGAATTGCCCACCCCTGCTCTATGATCATCGTGTTGTGAGGAAATAAAGAACATTGTCATCCATCCATCTATTCATCCATTTTTCATATTCTTGAGCAATACGTTTCAGGGCCTTCTGAAATTCTGTCAACGTGTTTTTGTGAACATTGGCTGCTTGTTATTTTCAGGCCAGACATTTTAACTGACTGTTTTCAGAGGAATGCTTTTTTTAAGCCACTTAACACTGACCTGTGATCATTTGAGTGACTTTCTGCTAAACAAGAGTAACTTTGCATGTTTGATTTGGCAGAGTGTTATCAATAGGAAGGAAAAATTCCTTTTTTACAGGATGAAACCTCCAGCAGAGGTAGGTTCATACCACAGTCCAGAATCCATCTACTGTTCAATGAATCCTCATCAGAAATTGTCTGGGTGGAAGAGTGACTATCAAGAAGCTATTAAGTCAGAAAACTTGGAAAAAAAGGCTATAGTATGTTGAATTACACAAGAACTTCACTGAAAATCAATGGAAACATGTCTGAGTGATGGATCTAAATGTGATATTTTGGGGCTAAACCATCGTCAGGATGTACAGAAACCAGGACAGAGGTCCAACAATGCAAATATACAGCCATCTGAAAAACACAGTGGAGGTTCTTTCATGGTTTGGGCTGCATTTCAGATGGGTTGTTTTATTTGGCAAAGTAATTTATTGAGTTTTCTCTAATCTGCATTTTCTTTGTTCATTTGCTGCTCTCCGTGTTACTAACTACATTTAATATAAACTTCTTACTGCAGACTTTCTGGCTGTGGACTCTCATGGATTCACTATGAATTGTTGGCCTCAGCTTTGAAGTCAAACCCCTCCCACCTAAGAGAACTGGACTTAAGTGAGAATTATTTGCAAGATTTCGGCTTGAAGCTGCTAGCTGCTGGACTAAAGAGTCCACATTGTAGACTGGAGAGTCTGAAGTTAGTATAGCAGTTCTTTCATGGTGAATGCCGTATATGTTTTTGTATTTTAATGTCATGGCTTCAAATGTGCAATAATGTCTTGTTCCTGCACATCTTTTCATTTTATATTTGTCCTTTATCTACAGACTTCAGAAATGCAAACTGTCAGAGAGTTCCTGTGTGATTCTGGCATTGGCTCTAAAATCCAACTCATCCTATTTGAAGGAGCTGGATTTGAGTTTTAACTCTCTGCAAGATGCTGGAATGAAACGACTGTTAGCTGAACTGGAGATCTCAGAATGCCATCTTGAAATTTTGAGGTTAGGCAGCATTGTTCAGTTGTAATAGGTCATTAGCAATATTGCTTTGGTGACGAATACATATATTTGACAAAAATACTTATATATCTACTAATATTTTTTTCAAATTCTATTTGTGCAATTGTTAATTTGGACAGTTTTAGTTGTAATCTTTTCACAAAAACATCACTTAGCTTTAGTCATAAAAGGCATAAACCTTTAGGCATCAGTTATTTTAGTTTTAGTCTAGTGTTGACTAATGTAAAGGTCTCCCATAATTTTACTTTTAAAAGTTGCTCCACAGGCTTAAAGGGTCTGATTCTTTTTGACATGAAGTTGTGATTAAATCTTGTCTCTCCAGAACATTTTTATCATGTTTTTATTTGTTGATTTTACTTACATTATTCTTATTCACTTGTATTTTAGTTTTCATGAGTGCAAAAAAATAAAAAAATATAAAATGAACACTGGTTTTATGATAGGATTTTGTGTACCACATAAAATGGTTAAAATTTAGATTCTAAATGTTGTGATGGACAAATATAACCACTACCTACTGAAGGATTTTTAATAACTTCATTTTTAATTGCAGGCTGAAAGGCTGTATGTTGATTGAGACCAGCCGCCATCTAATCTCATTTCTAATGTCTCGTCTGAGAGAGCTGGACCTGAGTGACAACAACCTGCAGGATTCTGGTGTGGAGCATCTGTCTCATGGACTGGAGAATCCAAAGTGTAAACTAGTGACTCTCAGGTTAAACAGAACTTTATTTAAGATTTTATTGCTACAGACTGATATTGGACAAAATCCCAATGTGTCATTGTATATATTGTAATCAATGAAGGATGTGTTGTTTTCAGACTGAGCTTATGCAAGTTGTCAGCGATGAGCTGTGATTTTCTGGCCTTGGCTCTGACGTCTAACCCCTCCCATCTGAGAGAGCTGGACCTGAGTAAAAACAAGATACAGGATTCAGGAGTGAAGCGGCTTTCCACTGCCCTAGAATCATTGTGTTGTAAACTCGATACTCTAAGGTACTGAAGTCATACTTACTGCACCTTTTATTCTTGCTAAAATCCACTGTATGGCTTTCAGGTCTGTTTCATAACCATCAACATGTGCTGAATGGCAATTAATAATAGCACTAAAAGTGCTATTATTCTTTCAATCAAATAATGTCTGTCACTTACAGAAGAGTGTCCTGAAGACCTTGCCTAAGAGGTGTTGCGGTCAAATGCGTGAACAACCTCAGCTGGCTCCTTTTGATTTGAAGGAGTACAGTGGCCTTACTGAGTTCCTTTCTGAAAAGTCCTCAGTAGGCCAACCAGTGGAGAAAATTCATTTCACCTCTTGTATCCATAATCTCATTATAGTCACCCCAATAATGTATTTAACTACCTCAGTGAACTTCTCCCTGTTGATGGGCGAGTCCTGCTCATTCCCAGACTCTGCATCTTCTATACAAGGTGTGTCGGCGGGATTTATTCCAGCACATGACTATATTCTCAGTTAAAGTCAGCTGCTTTCCCATCCCAACTCAGTTTGTTAGAATTGCTTTGAGGCTGACTCAAAGCCTTGTCACATGGCCTCAACAAACTGGCCTCACCAAACTCCACCCACAGACTACTTTTGCTTTGGCTACTGCCAGAGCTCCACTGTGCTTTGCCTGTTGATATCTCTCAGCTGCCTCCAGAGAGTGTCTGCTGGGAGGCTCCCAGCACCCCATCGCTATATTCTGGGGAACTGTGTTCTGATGTAAATGATGTAAATGACATTCCGGTATTAGACTCTTTAGAGAAGCTAAATATGATTTTTGTTTGTTCTTGATAATATTTCTGAAAATTTCTGGAAAATCTTTAAAATTTGAGAAGTAACTCTCTTTCATTTGTAACTTTTAAACATTTTCTTTTAAGTCAAGAGAGGAATCATTAAGTCAAACATCTGAAAGGCTTTAATCATTTTATTTTAGCACTTGTTTTTATAACAAAGCTGATATATCTACATTTGTGTTCTCAACAAATTATTTCAAACCCCAATAACAAATTTTATTTTACATTAATAAGCGAGATAATAAGAGAGATTTAGACTGATTTAAATATTAAGAAAATCTAATGGTCAGAACGGGCAGCATCCCACCATCCTCTGCCTCAGCACTGACCCCTCTTCTCCAACTTTGAGTTTTATTTTTAATGTATTACTTGCTGAAGGAAAAATTCCTAAATGATGGAAAACATGTAAAAATTCTCCCAGTCCACAGAAGTAGAGGAGTAAACAGTGACTTTAATTACTAGCAATCCTCAAATCCTCAAAAAAGTAAAACTACACTCCCAGTAAAAGGATTATTATTTAATGGTATTTCTTCACTTTATATACTATTTACATTGAGGATTTTCACTGAAGGCATCAAAATATGAATGAACACATATGTGATTATGTAGTAAACAAAAAAAGTGTGAAAAATTTCAAAACATATTTTATATTTTAGATTCTTAAAAATACAATCCAACAGTACAAAATGCATTGTACTGTTAGAAAATCAATGATGGCATGTCATTGCAGTATGCTGTGGTAGCCATGCTGGTTCAGTGTGCCTTCAGTTTTGAATAAATCCCAATCAGTAACTCCTTCAAAGCACCCCCACAACATCACAACTCCTCCTCCATGCTTCACAGTGGGAACCATGTAGAGACCATCTATTTACATTTTCTGTCAAAGACAAAAGGTGGTACCAAAGATCTAACACTTGGACTCATCAGTCCAAAGCACAGATTTCCACTGGTCTAATGTCTGTTTCTTGTGTTTCTTGGCACAAACATATCTCTTTTGCTTGTAGTGTAATTTTCAATCACAGGACATTTTAACATTAGCTTGACCTCTTCTATAAAGATTCATTGTAGAATTTTAAAAGTTTACATGTTTTACTTTCATGCATTTGTTTGACTTTTTGTTTGTATTTCTGTGTTGTTAGATGAAGAATTGAATTAGTTTTAAGCCTACATTGAGAATCCACAGGTCAGATTGTTTGCTACATACTTGGGTTGAGATGCTTCTTTAGAGCTAGATAAAGAAATCTGTCTTTTGCTCAAACATCAGAGATCCGTGAATTCTTTTCTATTCTTTCAGACTGTCTTTCTGTCAGATTACTCCCAAAGGCTGTGATTATCTGGCCTCAGCTCTCAAGTCCAACCCTTACCACCTGAGGTACCTGGACCTGAGTTACAACAATCTCCTACGGGATTCAGGAGTGAAGCAGCTGTGTGATTTCCTGGAGAGTCCAAACTGTAGACTGGAAATTCTCAGGTTAGATCGCACATTCATAAATTATTAAACCATGTATAGAGATTAAGGGTAGTTCTGACAGTTTGCATTATACTGAGTTATTTCCAAAGCCTGTTATATATTCATGTCAAGCCCATTAATTACTTGTAGTTGTATTGCACTAACCTTAAATCACAAGTAATCGATAATTAGCGTGTTACACTAGTTACTTTTTTTTTTTTAAGCCTGACTGTTTATAATTCTTTTTCCAGGCTCAGTTTCTGCGGTTTGTCAAACCTCAGCTGTTCTTTCTTGGCTTCAGCTCTGAAATCCAACCCCTCCCATCTAAGAGAGTTGGACTTGACTCTAAACAATCATCTGGGAGACACTGGAGTAAACCAATTGTCCAGTCTGATGGAGAGTCCAGAATATAGACTGGAGACTCTAAGGTGAATGAGTCAGTCTGACATGATTAAAATATACTGTACTATAAATTGCTTCCCAGTTTCAAATTATTAACTTTGTGAAAAAAAAAATGTCCTTGAAACTTTATGAGTGACAGAGACAACAACAAGAATACATAGTTTCCTTAGGAATTATTAAAGTATTCTGATTCTGAAGGGCAAGTAAAAGTGAGGCAAAGGAGAGGCAGGTGAGGCTCTATTGACAAAATCACCTAGACAACACATTTGGAAATATCTCTTTACTCTTCAGAGTCTATATTAGATAGGTAAATGGTAACTGGACTGTTTCTACTCTACTCAAACATTTGGAGCACTCAGAGTTAGATTTATTAAATGCTTCATATAAATCCTGCACCTCCGTAGCCTAGTGGTTTTTCTACAGTATGTCAAAATAGTGACTATTTTACTGGATTTTCAATCTGCGCAAGTGAAAACAGGAAAAAAAGAGAACCGGGAAGCTAGTGTACAGTCACTGTGGCTAAAATGCTTAAAGTACTCAGAGTAAATCTAAATGTAATGTTATCCTTGAGAATTCTCAGGATATCAAAGCAGAACTCTGCAATAGCAGATGGATCCTGATGAGTTATGGCCACAAAACAAATAACTCTTGTCTGGACCTGATGTGCTGCTTCAGGCTTGGAAATGATGGGTTCTTGCCGTAAAAGCATGATTTTCTCTGGGTTGTAGTCAGTGACCAGACATTTCTAATTCTCTCTTGTCCTGTTCAGGGTGAAGTAAGACTCTTGAACGATGGAGAGGAAGACAAAGACAAAGTGACCGAACGGAAGAAAGCAGTGTGATTCTACAAAGGCCTTTTTGACAAACCCAACCAATGTGTCTTTGGCTATTCAATTGTTTTATTTATTCAGTTTTATTTACAGAGCGCCAAGTCACAGCAACCCTAGCTTCAAGGTACTTTACATTGTAAGGTAGACCCTACAAGAGGTGTTCATGAGGTTTTAGATATTACCTTGGGTCAACACACCTTAATCAAATGATTAGTTCATTGCCTCTTATCCTTATTTTTTCTTTTTCCTTTGACCCTCTAATAGGCTGGAAGATGTATTTTACTTCATTGTTTGCATTTTTGTATGTGGCTGTTTAAATTAAATTGAATAAATGAGGTTATTATTGCAGTAGGCAAAAGTTTTAATATCGAACTAGTGACATTTTTTTCCATTTAATTTCTACTTTTATAATCTTATCCTACTAAGGTTCTCTCACTCCAGTACTCAGTATGTTAGTTCTATAACCATGTAGACTTTTCTGCTGCATTAGTGATGGGCTTGTTCACGCTGCCATTGTTTCTTTAAACATACACTTTTCATACACTATCTTAATAGTGTATGAAAAGAATAAATTTTTATATACATTCACCAGCCAACTCTGCCAAAACTCAGCTGTTGTATTCCTGCTTTCATTAAATTAATCATCAGTAAACTTTGTCCTAAGGACAGTTACAGAGTTAAAATACTTACTGCTAAGTAGGGCTGCACAATTTTGCATAAAATGAGAATCACGATTTTTTGGCTTAGAATTGAGATCACGATTCTCTCATGATTTTCTTTTCCAGTATAAATATTTATTGAACTTATTAACTGCACATCAACGTTGTAACAGTTGAGACTGAACATAAAAACAATAAATAAACATAAAAACAACAAAATGTCGTACTGCTTGAAATTCCGTCTCCACCGTTGCTCGACGCTGCGTGTACAGAGCAGGTAGTGCAACAATAGAAAATAGTTGCGGGACGGCACTGTGTAGCGTTTGTCTAGGGTGTTGATCGTTTTCCTAAATCCCTCGTTTCACACAGTGTTGATGGAGCCATATCTGTGGTCAGGTGATAAGTGATAGCCTCCGTGATGTCTTTGTGCCTGCGGGAGTTCGACGGGTATAGGGAAGCGCTGTATGAGGTTCCCGTTATTGATGTTTGGGTGGTTGACCGGGACGGATTTTCTCCTGTCACTTTCTCGTCATCCCTGACGTGCTCTCCGTTGTTGTTTCCCTGCTAATTTTAGCATCACACGGCACAGCTTCTGTATCACGTGGTATAAGGCTCCGCCCTTGTCATTTGTTGAGCAGGAAGAGTGAGCGCTTGTTTTCATGCAGAGTATGTCCCGGGTCAAAATGCGGTACAATCGTTGTCTTTTTTTTCTTTTTTTTAAAATCGTTGTCATTTGGAAATGAGATCGCACATAAGTATGAATTCAGATTGCGATTTTCTAACGATTAATCGTGCAGCCCTACTGCTAAGTTAATATAATTTCATTGTCGCATTGTAAAGAGAAAACGCTGTTTCCCCACACCGCTCTCGATGCCATAACACTTATAACCACAGCACGTGTCGAAACCACAAGTATCCCTCCATAGCCGGTTTTCATCCTTGTCACAATATAGAAGGAGCAAATCAGGAGAGGGATCTCACATCAGCTGATGTCGGTCATGTGACAGTGTGTAGTTGACGAGGGTTACAAATGTTCATTTTCTCAGCAGGTAGATGATAGGGTCATTCCAGCTTTCTCCCCGGCAAAAGTAGCCCTTTAGTTGTCAGTAGTGATGGCCAAATGAAACTTTCTGAAGCTTGTGTGGAAAAAGGGTTCATTACTCAAAGCTTTTCAACACGTTCCTCTCTGGTGACATCTGGTGGCCAAAGAAATGAAGAGCAGCTTGAATCTACAAAATAAAACGGACTGCTTCATTATGACTGCCCCCTCTACAGAGTGGAATTCTGTTTGATATTGAGCCACCATTGTGTTGCTTTGACCATGTATCTTTTCAGGGATAAAAAAAATTGTTTGTTTGGTTAATAAATAATTTTGATCAATAAACTGTCCTTATCTAAACATGTGCCATGGTGTGGTCTTTCGTTGGTTGAAACTTCTTGATAAATACAATAGATGAAAATATAATTAATATCCATATAATAATGTAAAAAACCTCATGGAGTATGCTGTTGCCTCCATGTACTTTTGCAATTAATCACAGGACAGCTGAACAGGTACGTTTATAAATAATATTCTGTTAGGCCCATGTAGACCGTGAAGGTTGGGTACTCCGAAGTGTGCGGCCCCTGAATTGAGACACAGCTTGTGTGCTTTTTTTCTGACACACGCAATGTGTATACTCTGGTATACTCTGACTAAAAGACAAAGTGAGTTCATATATGTCAAAGGGGAAGTCCAGCTCCCTGAGGCTCTACTAGCAGGGGAAAGATGGAGGGCGAGGGTCAGTGATGCAGGATGAAACATTGAGCATCAATGAATCCATCAGGAAGATCTCCCCCCAACATGATCGACTCCAAGAATGTTCCAGACAGCTGAGAACAGAAGGTGATAAGGAACAGGAGGAGGAGCCGTCACAGGTGACCAAGCCCTACATGGGATAAACTGGGACATTTACAGCTCCCTGGCAGTATGGAATGTTAATAATCCCATTTGTCATTGTCCGCAAGAGTGGTTGTGTGTTTCTCTGGTCTCTGCCTTTGGGTGGAGCCTTGTCAGCTTGCTCATTTCCCACACCTGCTACTAATTTCCATGGTTGTAGATAAGACCAGCACTGAGTCTTCGCCAGATCCAATGCTAACCTTTATTAGTCGCTAAGTAATGTGCAATGAAGTCTTGTATTCTTGTTGTGCTGACTGTGTCATCTCCTGTGTTGTAGTAACCCATGAATCATCAGCTCAGCCTTGCAGTTTTCACACTTTCCTGGACTCTGGTCACTCAACCTGACTCCATTACCGTTACTAAGAAGAAAATGCTAACAGGCACAGTCCAAACCCAGGCTAGCATGAGCTCAGTGAAGAGATAAGGCGACGCAATTCAAGTGGTCTAAGCTTGATTTCTCCTCTCCACAAATATCTGTGACACAAACTGAGTTAAACAGACTTATAGCAGGTATGTCGTTAAGAACATGCTGCCTTTATCAGCAGTCGAGTCTGATTCCTTCAAGTCTCTTATTGACAAGATAATGGCAAGAGGAGGGGTCGGCCTGCCATGCAGAAAGACTTTGCCTCAGCTCTTACTGGGACAGTGGCGCGGCTGCCCCTCTGTGGGTCTTCCATGGTCTCTTGTGTTCTGGGGGCCTCTGGATGTCTGGAGTTTTGATCTCCTCCATACCTGCTTCATGCCCTGGAGGACGGGGCTGTGGCTCCCCACACTCCCTAGCAGATCATTACATGGAGAAACCTTTGGAATACAAGCACGCTGATCCACACAGGTATGCACACATGGGTATTCACTGCTCGTAGACTTAAATTACACCTCTCTTGGCTACTACTTCGAAGCACATCTGTCCTGCGTGCTGCACAACAACATTGAATATTTAGTATTTACTGCTGTTTACACTTAGCTAGATTAATGCGATGGTGTTGTGTTTAGTATGTTGCTTTGTTTTTTTTGTTTTTTTTGCTTGTTTTCTATTCTTCTCTCAACAGGTGATCCAGGAGATTTTTATTTTTTTTCTCCCCCCTTTCTCACTGTCCCTCTCCCCTTCTGTTTTTCCTTTCCTTCCTCTTTCTTTCTCCCTTTCCTATCATTCACTCATGTCTGTCCCGTCTGTAACATCTGAAAATAAAATATAATAAATTAAAAAAAAAAAAGAAAGACTTTGCCAAATACAGATGCAGAGAAACCTAAAATGAATGTCAAACTCAAAAATATGTTTGAGGAGTTACAATACGTCTCTACTACAGCAGATATCTGGACTGCACATAATTACAGGGAGTGCAGAATTATTAGGCAAATGAGTATTTTGTCCACATCATCCTCTTCATGCATGTTGTCTTACTCCAAGCTGTATAGGCGCCAAAGTCTACTACCAATTAAGCATATTAGGTGATGTGCATCTCTGTAATGAGAAGGGGTGTGGTCTAATGACATCAACACCCTATATCAGGTGTGCATAATTATTAGGCAACTTCCTTTCCTTTGGCAAAATGGGTCAAAAGAAGGACTTGACAGGCTCAGAAAAGTCAAAAATAGTGAGATATCTTGCAGAGGGATGCAGCAGTCTCAAAATTGCAAAGCTTCTGAAGCGTGATCATCGAACAATCAAGCGTTTCATTCAAAATAGTCAACAGGGTCGCAAGAAGCGTGTGGAAAAACCAAGGCGCAAAATAACTGCCCATGAACTGAGAAAAGTCAAGCGTGCAGCTGCCAAGATGCCACTTGCCACCAGTTTGGCCATATTTCAGAGCTGCAACATCACTGGAGTGCCCAAAAGCACAAGGTGTGCAATACTCAGAGATATGGCCAAGGTAAGAAAGGCTGAAAGACGACCACCACTGAACAAGACACACAAGCTGAAACGTCAAGACTGGGCCAAGAAATATCTCAAGACCAGTTTTTCTAAGGTTTTATGGACTGATGACATGAGAGTGAGTCTTGATGGGCCAGATGGATGGGCCCGTGGCTGGATTGGTAAAGGGCAGAGAGCTCCAGTCCCACTCAGACGCCAGCAAGGTGGTAAACAGGTAAAGCTAATCTAAGGGTATTATTGCACAACCAATAACCGTTAGGGATTGCTCTAGTTAGGCGCGTGACCATGTGTGATTTAACTAACTCCCCCCAGTCAGTGTCATTTAATACACCCTCTGGGGAACAATGATCGATTCTCCGCTCGAACTTGAACTGTGTGTGTGTTCCTCCTGATATGATACAACTTCAGCCACAGAGACAGCTAGCCATGTCTCATTACAGCGTGCACCTGGGAGTCAGAGAAAATGTGTAGTTATCCTTTGTATAATCTATGTGGGTGTCTGGGCCAGTTAACTTTAGTCTGCGCAGACATATCATACTAGTATTAAAATGGAAAGGGATCTGTCCTAAGGGCAGTGAGGGTTTTAACCTATTCTTGGGGCGTTTCATTGGGGCGCAGGTCCCTGCGGTGTCATTAGATAACTTCAATAATTCGCCTAATGGAGTCTCAGGGTTAGTGTGTGTGTGTGTGTGTGTGTGTGTGTGTGTGTGTGTGTGTGTGTGTGTCTAAGTAGGCAGTCGAGAGGGCTCAGAGTCAACTGTAAAGTGTCTTTAAGGAGAGCATTATCTCCGCCGATTTTCTCTAGTCCCTCAGTGAGGGGGAAACCAGATATGGGGTATCCTACTATAACCTGTTCTGGGTTACCTTTTGAACAGACATAACAGTTACTGTTTCCTAAGTCACGAGCGGCTATTCTGGCATTTTCATACCAGGAGTTGACTCCTGCTCTAGAGGGCGCATAAAATGGTTTGTTAGTGGCGTCTATGTTGTCATTTACTGATTTTAGGGAACGTAAGGAGCGTACTAGGTTGGTGTCTTGCAAAATGGAGCATGAGGTATTGTCAGCAAAATATGACCTGCAGAAATGTGAACATGGTTGCAGTCTACAATACAAATAGCAAAGAAAATCCTAAAGTTAATGCGATAGATATGATAAATAATCTAAATATATAAGAAAAAACACAGTTCTTCAGTCGTCTCCTGGCCTGGTCCCAGGTTCGAGAGACATTGAATAAGCGTCGTATGATGACAATGGGCATTTCATTTTCTCCATTATCAGGATGAAATGAGTCTAGCTTTATCAGAT